TCCAGCAATCAGCCCAGCTTTCTAGTTCTGTATTGACAGAAGGTGTTTCATGTTGTTTGTGTTTCGCGCTCTGCTGTGCATGACGACAGGCCGGAAGGACACATGTTTTTGTCTTCATGCAAATATATTAGTGTCGATGCTAAGATTGTCTATCAAATGAAAGGTGTGAAACAGCTGCACAACGTCCATGTCTTCTTATTTCAGATGTCTTTGTTCTACAAGACAGGAGTTTACAGTGAGACAGATGTGAGGCCATAAAGTTTGCACATTAAAAGCAGGTAAACGTTCATCAAATTTCATGCTGTTGGAGCTGATGAGTTATTGGGAGAAATGTACAAGGACAAAAGTAAATGAGCTATATCAAAACCACATCTGTTTGGAAATTCAATGTCACCAGCCATGGCGTCTTTAGACTTCTCAGGATGTGTTCTAGGCAACAGCAATCCTTAGTGTGGAAAAATGAAGCAGGGGGCGCCGGATAGCCAAGCAGTAATGTGGCTCGCCTCATGTACAGAGTCTATAGTTCTTGTTGCAGTGGCTGTGGGTTCGAATCCGACCTCTGAGGCTGAGTTGACTGACACCAGGAAGCATTGTAGCCGTTTCCAAGGCTTAAGGCCCGTTTCAGCTCTTCCTCTCTGTTCTTCAATTAGAGCTGGTCTTTGTGAATTAGATGGTGTTTGCAACCAAATTTTTGAATATTCCAGAATTGACATTGATGAAAATAGGACAGGCACACCCAGGATGCTATCTGCTTGGCAGTGCAGTTTGAGTACAGTTTGCATTTTACCCTTTGTGCATGCTTTGTGGATTGAATGCTATAGCGTATGCAAAAGCAGTACAATCCTTATGTGAATAGGGCGTATGTTTAATGATCTTAAGGTTGGGGAATGATTCTGTGAAAGGAGAATGCAGGGATGAGTAGACACCCACAGAGAGAAATAAAAATGGTCATATTAACACTCTCAGGTGCAGAGGAATAGAGACACACACCTGGGAAATACACGCTTTTATACAAACACAAACAGTACAAACACAAAGACAAAAATCAAAAAGACAAAAAAAGCACAAAGGAGCAGCTGGCTGAGAAGCACAAAGGCCCAGGTGGCAGAGCTGTTAAATGACACAGTGATTTAAGTCCTGTGTCGTTGTAAGGTCTGTTATCTCCCGCCACTTACAGCACCGCTACGATACGGTCCGACAGCCGGTGAGTGCAGCTGAGGAGGCAGCGCTGATGACGGATAGGTTCAGCCTCTGCAAGCTTCAGCCGCACTGCGCAATTACCTGAATCATATGTTTAAGTGGCTGTCATATATGTTGTCATCCAAGGCTTCTGTTTAGACTTTGCATTGTTAAAGCTCTTGTTTATTTCAGTTTATCCTGAGGAATTCTTTGAGATTTTTTTTATCTTTTTTGTTTGCCCCGTTCACTAAAGACGATGACAAATGACTAACAACACTGGATGGATTTGAACACTGGACTTTTCCCTGATGTTTCACTGTGGAAAGCTTCCTCATCAAATATTTTTTGTATTCATATATAATGTAGTTTGTTATTTTCATATTTCCATGTGTTTTGTTACTTGGGAAATGTTGCAAAATTCATTTTCCTAAAGATTTATATAGTACATCTTTGTTTGTATACTTTGATTTCCTCTGAGCAAACCACTCGTCCGACGACTGAAACTGACTGTGTTCCACTTCCTTCCTTCAACCCAGTTTTTAGTGCACTCAAAAGTCTAGCAGTCTTACTTGATTTTATTACTTTTCTGATGTTAACGGCCTACATACCGGTACTCAAAATAGAACTTTGTGTGCGGTTCAGTTTTAGGACTCAGTTCCTCTTTAATCTTGAACAGATCCTGTTGGTCTCTTTCGGCGTTTTGAAAAAGGCTCCTGATTTAGAGTTCAAGTTGTCTCACATTCTGCACTTTTAAGATCATATTAACTCTCCCACCTCGAGGTCAGAATCAGAATTGGGTTCATTGCAAAGTGGTTTTAAAAAACACAAGGAAATTGTCGTAGTGGTTTGGTGTAAAAACATGAACACAAAAGTACAAAGAAGACAAAAACTATATTTACCAGAAGTCCTCCTACTGTCGAGGAACAAAGTCTGCTCTTAAGTTAAATGTTCTGTGAGGGACTTTCCATGGCGTCACCGAATGTTCTTCCTGTACACAAAGCAGCACCTATTCTCTCATTGCCGATCTTATCCTGTACATGAGTAGGTAGTGTTTTCTGGAAATAGAAAATCTATTTTCTCTATCTATTATATTATAAACAAGCATTGTTATCAATCACTGTGAAACTACTCAGTGGAAAATATGATACAGGGCTGTTTTAGCAACGTGCGGTTACTCAATTTGTCTGACACCTACCCCGCAGCAGTGGATTCACAGCTTAAAAATAATGACATAGAATGAACAATCTTTGTCTAGATTGTCTTATTTTGTCTTTTTTAGCTGATAAATAGGCATCATCATTAATTTAACCAGCTAGAAACTCATCACAGGAGTTCAATTTGGCTTTTTTGTGGGCTCATGATTTGAGATTATTCCTGGTGGTCATGATCTCCACTGGTCTCCACTTTAGCCAGGCTGTGATTCAGGTAATTATAGCCCCTGAGTCACCATAAGTGACCAATTTACCTCTACTCTCCAAGTCAATGGAGTCCAAAGGCAAGTCTTGAGTTTTTAAGGACAACAAACATATCACTGTAAAGCTCAAGTCAACTCTGAATCAATCAAAAGAGAAAATGTAAGGTTCAAGCTCAGGTCAATCAAGGCTTATCTAGGTAAGGTCCAAGTCAACTGAGACGGGGTCAAGTGTAATCTGAGGACAAAGTCATCAGGATGGGTCAAATGAAACTCTGAAGATTTCATAACTTTGAGTCCAAGTCTCAAGTTCTCAATTCAGTTGAGACAAGGTCAGCATTAGGTCAAAGTAAATGAGGACAAGTCTAAGGTTTGAGGTTTATTAGGACAAGTTCTTGTTAAGTTTGAAGTCAGTTAATGGAGAAACAATTTAAGTCTAAGGTCAAATTCAATGAGGAGGAGTTCAGGTCAAACCTCAAGTCAGAATCTATTAAGAAAGGACCATGTCGTCCCTCAACTCATTTAAGATGAGTCGAATTTATACACCAATTAGAGTAACATTCCAGTAAAGTCTGTCGATAATTGAGACCAGTTAGAAAGTGTCTGTACATGGTGAATACTTAGATCATTGTACCCTTTATTTCTCCTGAGTCTCCCTAAGTTTGATGTCCACACATTTTGTTAAGAAAATAACTGAGCTTCCTGCCAGGCCCTTCACATCTGGTCTCAAATAACGGCTGATAAAGAGAGTTACTTAGTCGCTGCGTTCCACCTGATCAAAGCTGAGGCGGCAGGGCTCGTGGGCAGCTTGCAGCAATCTAGATAATTAGACTCGTTTTCGATCGCAGCCTCAATCTCCTCCGAGCTGATGATTATCCCTTACACCATGCAGCAAGCACTGACAGTAAACCGGTGAGCACTCTCAAATGACAGCGAGAAGGCAGGCAAGATGCACTGTTAGGAGTGTTTAAGAGTGTGTTGTGTTGCTGTGGACTTTGAGACATTAATGAATATGAATTGCTTGGAAAAGCAGAGAAAATTAACTGAGCATTTATGGTTTTTGTATGGAGAGAGTGAAATGTTTATATAAATGTAAAGCTAGATTGACTAAGTGAGAAGCATAAACAAGTGAAGTTTCTTCCTGGTTGGATACCACAATGTGTTAGAAGGTTAATCCCTTCTCTCCCCCGATTGCATTAAAATATACTGCTGCTGTCCCGTCTCTTATGTTGATTCAAGAGCTGTTACCATGGAGACTAAACTACCTCTCTAAATACTGGAATACATGCAGCTAAGTTTTAGACAAACACCGACAATGACAGATAGGGAAGCAGACGTATGGACCAACCTCTCAGTGCTCATCACATATTCATTCGTTACGGTTCATTGTTCACACCTCCAGTTCGGTCTCTGTTTCCAATCAGTAATGATTGAAGCACTGCATCATACCCAGCAGCATTATGTCCCGTAATGAGATTCTTAACCCCCCCCCCCCAGCATACCTCCCTATAATCCCACGTCTCTATCGTGGGCCTTTGGAAACAGCTGAGCCAGCCAGAACATGGACGCGCTACACAAAATTCAATGTTAACCCTGCCATCCTGAATAACAGCGAGACAATGGAAGTGGAATGGAATGGATGCTACGCCTATTACCGGACATCTTAATCCTCTTAAGAAGTTAAGAGAGGTCTTGATGACATGGGAGAGGAAAGGAAGGTACAGCTCGATTGGAAATGAGCAGAAACAAGACTGAGGATTGAGGTTCATCTCAAACAAAAGCGTCCAGGTTCTCCTATTCATTAACCCAGGATTGTCTTTGGGGAATTGCTAGAGAAAGGTTGCACACATGGTTGGGTTTATCTTAAAATAACAGGATTGCAAGTTTATGATATTTTGTTGAAATATGTCTCTAAAAAATCAAAATACGTTCATACTTCCCGAGGCATCTTTAACTTATTCGCAGCTTAAATAATTTCTGCAAATAAAAAAGAAAAAACACCCCAGTTGACGTCAGACAATTTGTGAGCCTGGCTTTAACTAGAGTGTTTAGAAAGAGTGCCAGATTCATTAACCTGACTTTCCCCAGACCAGCATTTTGCCATGTCTATAACCCAGTCAGTGCCTGCTTCTGAGGCTCCTCATAAAAGCACGTCTTTAGAGAATGGCCTTTAGTGCCGCAGCAAACCTCATCAGAGGGAAAGTTTAGTAACTCAATTTGATAACGACTCATGAAAGGGAGGATTTGAGGCAAGGGGAAGCACAGAGCATTGAGCAGACCATCAGCAGCAACAGGGTTGAGATCACAGCAGCAAACAGAATTGTGAATTTCAGTGGTATATTTGTCAGGGAAAGAAAGAGAAGCCATGTAGTAATGCTGTGTCAAAATAAATAAGCAAGGTCTGACTTACCTGTCTTTCCCTGTTTCCTTCTTGAAGACCATGTCGCAGTAGTTCATCCTGTCCTCTGTGGTGACGTAGATTTGTGCATGGGGGTAGTTTTCAGCCGCTTGTCGCAGCATGTTGTAAACGATTCCCTTTCCATCCTTCCTCATGTTTCGTAGCGGTCCCCAAACAACGTAGACGGTTTCGTTGCCCTGGCCGAAGAAGTACTGGGGCTTCTGCAGCAGCAGGGGGACGCTGGTGTGCGAGACGACTCTCAGCGTGGTCCGCTTGCCCACGTCACCTTCAAAGCCCCGTGTTGGAGCGTTGTTCATCCGCCAGATGCAGGGAGAACTGTCGATCTGTGGGCCGGCAGCCTGGCCTAGCATCTGACCAGAGCTGGACACAATGCTGCAGATCTCACAATGCAGCTTCAGAGGCTGAGGGAGTGGAATAAAGAAAATTCAATTACTTCTCATTATCATATTATAATGATTCAATTAAGAGAAGTCCAAGTTGAGTCTCAATTCAGCAGCTATACAGATGAGTTTTGGTTGTGTTTCACGTACTTGACGATGAGACAGATATCAATAGTCAATAATAAACAGATACAGTCCAAGTCAGATCTTAAGTAAATTTAACAGAAATAAGTGAAATCTGAGGTTACAATGAATTGGGTGTGACTTGGTCTTGTGCTGAAGTTGAACTCAATCTTAACAAGCCAGCATCACGTCTCAAATTATATAGGTTGAGTAAGAATAGAATCAGTGAATACCTGAAATCAAGTCTCACATTAACAGAGAAAATATAATTCACATGTCCAGTAGATGTCAATATAAAGAAGTCCAAATCAAGTCTCAGAATAATGAAAGAAGTCTGATATTATTATTCAGTCTGTCAGAGTTATTTTCAGCTCATGAGTGACAATTTTGAGAGCAACTCAAAACCAAGTCAAAGTCTACCAAGAAAATCAAAGCCTGTTCACTGGAAATTCAGGACTTGTGTCGGAGTAAGTCTCAGATCAAGTCTTTAAATGACACATCGTCAAGACTAGTCCATCTCAAGTCACACCTCAAATATAACAAGCCAGGTTTACACTCAAAGACTGTATGAATACGTCTCAAATCAACCAACAGTTTTTTTTTAAAGACAAGTCCAAGTGAAGTCCTGCTTTTCTGAGGGCATATTCAAGCCAAGGCGCACAAGTTCATGTGCAATTAGTGAGGTTACATCCGACTCTTACAGGTCTCAGTGCTAATAACAATGCACTGTTAAGGGTGAATCCTATCTGACTCTGAGAACTCTGAGAACTATTCTGTGATTTTTAAAGCTCAAATTTTTGACTTGAACAGTTTCCATTGTAAACCTAAAAGGTTGGTCTCCTCAAGTTCTAAATGCTTTAAGTCTAAATAAATCCAATCCCAGAGCAGTAAGGTCAAGTTCTCAAGGCCACAGATGTATTTAAAGATTTGGAACTTTTTAATATTTATCAACAAGCAAGTCAAGAATCAGCAGGGCTGTTATACAACTTACATTATAGTGGCCACAGAAAACAACATAAGAACAGAGATTCTTTCAAAGGAAATGAAACAGAACAGTACCAAACACTGAAGTGGTTTATCTTTTTTTTACTTTCATAGCTTGAGGAGAAGAGACTGTTAAGACTGCTTGTATACCCTAAATCTATGCAACATACAGGTTACAGCTCTAAACGGAGAGAGTAAAAACACAAACTTTTTTTTCTTCCTGTTTGTATAGGAAAACAAACAGAATTAGATTTTGAAATATGAAGTCATTGTGACTGATCATTATTGATGTTTCCCCTGCGGAACTGTATGCTTAATATTTTTCAAGGACAAAGGAATCCTTAACTTTTATTTTGAAGTGATACAAATAATTTTAAAATACTTTACAAGTGGGCGCCTGTAGCCTAGTGGTGAGTGCATGCGCACCATGTACAGAGGCTATAGTCCTCTAACCGGGTGGCAACAGGTTGGGTTTGAATCCAACCTTTTCCGTCATGTCATCCCCCCCTCTCTCTGTCCCTAATATCTGCCTCTATCCACTTCGCTATCTCAAAATATTGGCATAAAAAGCCCAAAACAGACCCTTTAAATTTTTTTTTTTTGCAATTTAATAAAAAAAAAGAACATGATTTCCATTAAAAGCTGGGTTGGATTTTTTTTTCAAAAACTAGCATGATTTTTAAAGTAGCAACTTTGAGTGGGCTAGTGCACACAAGGGATAGACAACGAGCAGGGAGACAGGGAGGCGTGATTGGTTCATCAAATTGGTCCGGCTCTTGTATTTTAATTAAACTTCAGTTCATTTCACTTAATAAGGTCGTTCTTTCTATATTGGAAAACATCTGTGTGATTTCCCTTTAAAATATACTGCATCTGTTGTTTTATTTCCATCGGATGATGTTACTGTTTGTGATACACTTTATGTGTGTGCAATAATATTAAAGTGAAGTTTTGGCAGAAGGGCTTAAAGGATCAGAACATAAAATAGAATGCATTTCAATATTATTCACTGGGACTCTTCATCAGGGGTTTTATGGCTCTATATAATCTCTGATTTCCTAAAATGAATGTCGTTGTGCTTACAGCTCACATTGATTAGGTTAATTGAATGCGGAACCTCAGGGGTTACAAACAGTCTTAATGCTACAATGCAGAGTGGACAAGCAAGGGAGTTCTGTCATTTATCATACGGGTTATTTTTTTATATATCTTATTATACTTTACTGGAGCAGGGGATTTGTAATAAATCTTCAATAATAGCTCTTAGCTACGCTTTGCCGAGGGAGGGAGAAAGCCTTCTGTGAATTTGAAATGGGAGATTTAACTAATTGAAGCTAATATGCTTGATTTGTTTTGATGAGATTAAACTTACTTAAGTGAATGAATGCAAGAAAAAGTTAGAAAAGAAAGAAAGAGAAACCTTTGTATCATGACTAAGCCCTGTTTGCTCATTTGCTTAATGGAGAGTAACTGTAATGTCATTGGTTTGAATACAAATTGCATCAAAGCTGCATTCAGGGGGCTGGTTGAGAAAGCGATTGTGAAACTCTCTGTTGCATATTGTGCGCTTAATCAACAAACAAGAGAGCTTTAGCGTGCAAACAGAATCCCAGAAGACAATCCAGTCAATACTATGACGACTACTTGGCTTATCAGCACTCATATGTCTAATTGTTATGCACACAGAATATCAACTGCTTGGAAAGGACTCAAAAGCGGTGTGGGTTTTCTTTCATCCGCTGAATAATTCTTGCGTGAGTTATTCAAACACAGCTACCTGCTCTTGCCTACTCTCTCCATGTATGGATTCAGTCATGGAGCGCTGCATTTGAAGGGTGGTTGAGACACATATCAGCACAGCCTCGAGCTGTCAGAGGCTCGTCCATCATCGCTTTCTGCCGTAAGCCCGGCTCATAACTCAATCATGCCTCTCAGCACACACACAGATTGGTCGAGCTCTGTTGGAAACTCAAGCTGGCTAACCATATGCATGACACAAGGGTTTACAACTGGAAGAATATCAGCCCCTGTTCAAGGCGTTTACAAAATAACTGTAGCAGTGCCAAACATCTGACGTTTAAGATTAGACTTGAACTTTATGATGAGAATTCATCAATAAAAATGGGCATTGATATAGGAACATTTCAAAGAAAGAACCTGCATACAAACCTCCCAAACAACTGGCAGTGAAAATGATTAGCTTCCCATGAACACAAATAAAATTGAAATGCATTAGGGAAGTATGTAAAACCTCATCTGCAACATTTCTATTTTTAGATATTTGACTGGAATCTAGCTCCCAACAAATCTGTGCAGATTACGTCGTGTAAATCAATAAAATGTTATGGCCTCTTCATCCCCTCAGCAGTGATTGATGTTTCAGTTTCATGTTCATGACGCCGCCGTTTCAGCGCTGCATGCAGTAATCTCAAACTGAGTGCACTTTATAATCCCAATAAATTTGGCAGTCCCTGGTAAGTACAAAATCTACTCAAAGCCTCCGGTTTTAATGGGACTGAGTTAAAAATAGAGAGGGTTATGGATGAAAAAAAAAGAAGCAGGCTTAATGCCGGGAACACGGTCATCATTAAATTATAGCACTGGGGTGTGAACTTAACCTTGATGGTCATTAAAACGCTCTAAACAAGGTAAATTAATAAGAAATAATTATTACATTAACAAGTCCTAGTGTAAGACGTCTCCATGGCTCCTAAATATTCAGTGATGATCTGGAGCCGTCTGCATGGGAAAAAGTGATTAATTACAAGTGCTCCTCTAGAGGCATCTACATTAAACTGAACAAGTAAAACATTGTTATAGGCAAGGCAAGGCAAGTTTATTTATATAGCACATTTCAACAACAAGGCAATTCAAAGTGCTTCACACAAGACATCAAAAGCATCATGACAGAGGAAAGAAAAGAAACATTAAAATAGAACATAAAAAAAAAAATCAAAAAAATCACTGGAATTATTAAATCTGAACATATGTTCAAATAAAGATAATTCAAATGAAATTAATTGAAATAAATACAGTTAAAATATAAAAAAAGTTAAAAGTTACAGTGCAAAAATTTAAAATCTTCTTAAAATTGTTTAATGAAAGGCAGCTGTAAACAGGTGTGTCTTCAACCTCGATTTAAAAGAGCTGAGAGTTTCAGCAGACCTGCAGTTTTCTGGGAGTTTGTTCCAGATATAAGGAGCATAGAAACTGAACGCTGCTTCTCCATGTTTGGTTCTGACTCTGGGGACAGAGAGCAGACCTGTCCCAGACGACCTGAGCGGTCTGGATGGTTCGTAATTAATCAGGAGGTCACTAATGTATTTTGGCCCTAAACCTTTAAGCGCTTTATAAACCAGCAACAGGATTTTAAAGTCTATTCTCTGACAGACTGGGAGCCAGTGTAAAGACCTCAGAACTGGACTGATGTGATCCATTTTCTTGGTTTTGGTGAGGAGTCTAGCAGCAGCGTTCTGGATCAGCTGTAGTTGTCTGACTGATTTTTTAGGCAGACCTGTAAAGACACTGTTGCAGTAATCAAGACGACTGAAGATAAAAGCATGGACAAGTTTTTCCAGGTCCTGCTGGGACATAAGTCCTCTAATTCTTGATATGTTCTTCAGGTGAGAGTATTCTGACTTTGTTATTGTCTTAATGTGGCTTTTAAAATTGAGGTCTGAGTCCATCACTACGCCCAGATTTCTTGCCTGGTCTGTAGTTTTAAGTCTTAATGACTGAAGCTGATTGCTGACTCTTAGTCGTTCCTCCTTTGCTCCAACAACAACAACATCAGTTTTGTCTTTGTTTAGCTGGAGAAATTTTTTGCACATCCACTCATGGATTTGTTCTATGCATTTACCCAGTGCTTTTATGGGACCATGGTTGCCTGGCGACATTGTAATATATATTTGTGTGTCGTCTGCGTAGTTATGATAACTTATTTTATTGTTTTTTATAATCTGAGCTAGTGGGAGCATGTAGAGGTTAAACAGAAGAGGCCCCAGGATGGAACCTTGGGGAACTCCACAAGTAATTTTTGTTTGCTCAGATTTGAAGTTACCTATAGACACGAAGAAGTCCCTGTCCTTTAAGTAGGATTCAAACCAGTTTAGTACTGTGCCAGAAACTCCCACCAAGTTTTCCAGTCAGTCGAGCAATATATTGTGGTCAACTGTGTCGAACGCAGCACTGAGATCAAGTAAAACCAAGACTGAGGTTCTGCCACTGTCTGTGTTTAAACGGATGTCATTAAACACTTTAACCAGAGCTGTCTCAGTGCTGTGGTTTTGTCTAAAACCTGACTGGAAGACATCGAAACAGTCGCTCAATGTCAAGAAGTTATTTAACTGTTGAAAAACAGCTTTTTCGATTATTTTACTTAAAAAAGGAAGATTTGATATCGGCCTGTAATTGTTCATTATTGACTTGTCTAGATTGTTCTTTTTTAATAGTGGCTTGATGACTGCTGTTTTCAGGGCCTGTGGGAAGACACCTGAGAGAAGAGACAGGTTTACAATTTTTAACAGATCTGGAGCCATGACTTGGGAGACTTCTTTGAAAAAACCTGTTTGCAGAATATCAAGACAGCAGGAGGAGGAATTTAATTGTTGTATAATGTCCTCCAGGTTTTTAAGGTTGATTTGATTAAATTGTGTCATGGTGCTTAAGTTGGTTTTAAATGGACACAGCACATATCCTGCTCCTGATGTTGAGTTACTGACAGTTTGTCTAATTTTCTGTTTTTTTTCAGTAAAGAAGGTGGAAAATGTATTACCTGGTAGAATTAAATTCAGATGCTATTGACACAGGAGGGTTTGTTAGCCTGTCAAACAGGGCACGAGCATTATTACTGTTTCTGGTGATAATGTTAGAGAAGAAAGATTGCCTTGCATTCCTCAGTTGTGAATTATAAGTGTGAAGTCTCTCTTTGTAGATGTCATAATGAATCTGGAGATTAGTTTTACGCCACCTGCGTTCAGCTTTTCGACAATCTCTTTTTCCGTTTCTTACCAGTGTCAAATTTCTCCATGGAGATTTTTTCTTACCAGAGTCAACCTTCACCTTAGTGGGAGCAATGGAAGCAATATCATTTGTGATTTTAGAATTGAAGTTATCTACCAACTCACTGACTGAGCCCCAGGACAGGGCAGCTGTGGAAGAAAAAACCTGGTTAAAGATTTCACTGGTGTTTTCAGTGATACACCATTTTGTGATCACTTTTGTTTGAATACTTTTGTACACTGACATAGTACTCTCAAATAAAACACAGGAGTGATCAGAGAGGGCAGCATCTGAAACAACAACCTTGGCGATGTCCAAGCCCTTGGAGATGATTAAGTCCAGAGTGTGCCCTCTGTTATGTGTTATACCTGGAAAGTCATCTTGGGAAGACACAGGAAAAACTTAATTTAACATCATAAGCTGCAGCTTTCTCTTAGCTTTTCGCAATTTATTGGTACATTTCTGGGTTTGTCAGTGCCAGTATATTCAGAAAGAAACATCATCTGGCACCTGTTAGCAGGGGTGAACATGGGAGGGAACTCTCAGGTTTAAAAAAGCTCTAGTTCATGTTTTTTGGAATGGATGACACACTGTATGACTGTCTCAGCTGGCTCCAGAGTAGTGTTTTCATTTCACGGTTACAGGTTGGCTATCCTGGAAGCTACCCAGAATCTCATTAGCATCTGCTGCTGTGCAACGTTTTATGATCAATTACCTTTCATGGGGGTATCTTGGATTCACTTTTATACAACGGGAGGAGGCTGAGGCGTGTTTTCCATCCATATTTATACGTTCAATGGGTGTATATATACACAGTATGATCTGATACAGTATTAAACTGTTGTTAATGATGTTGTGAACTTATAGTTTAAATTACATGTTTTATTATTGTATTGCTAATTCAACTAAATGACCAAGAAAAAGTTGTCAACAACAACTGTCCCTAAGGCTAAGTCTGACACCACTGACTCGTTCACTCGTTGACTACACTCATATCAAAGACACTTTTTTAATGAAAACATTTAGAGCAGTCAGCTGAGATTTCGGACATATACTTTAGTTTAGTCATTGGTACTAATAAGTATCATTGTTTTCACACCTGTCAGATGAAACAGTCGATAGCATTGTTTCAGTTTCTGGTTGTTTTAATTGAAAGGATGCAGTGTGGTAAGCGTTAAAGTGGTATACAGGCCATAAACACTCCATTTCCTGTTTCATTAAGGGGAGCGTATAAACACAAAGACTTAATAATGGGAGTTGGGACACTGAAATCAAGAGGCAGATAGTAAAATGACTCACTATACATCAGGAGTGAGGCAGCATGAAACACATTTATCTGTAAGACCTTACCTCACAAACTTAATGACAGAATTTTAAGATCCCTGAGGAAAAACAGTGATTTACTATTTTGTGCTCTTAAAGTAAAAGCTGACTTCACTTGATTAACCGACGGTTGGTACAACACGGTCCAGAAGATTTCTCATTAAAAATATTTGCAAAGCAATCCAACACTAGAAGCGCTTTCCCCCCCTTTGTTGGCCATTGTGTACATTTCAAAAGGCATGAATTCATAATTTCGGCTCCAAATGAAAATATTGAGTTCCTGTCTGCATCTGTGATTGACCAGGGGCATGAATGTAAAGTGCCACAAGACTAATGTTTTCTATTTCTCCTGAAAAGAAGAGTGGGAACAATTTATCACACCTGAAGGCAGACTCAATCAAATGAGGAAAATAAGGCGGACCGTTCCACTGCTGCAGGGTTATGCATTATACATGCAAGCAAGAGGTTTATAACGCCACAAATGACACCTCACTATCCCAGGAAATATTTCAGTCTCTCTTAAGGCGTTGCTGTGAGCTTAACAGAGGCTGACAGCTAACATAAAAGGCTTTCCCCTCTGGATGTAATCACTTAGGACACCTGGCACAAGGGCGTTGCCTTGTTCACACGCCCACAATCCTGTCCATCCATTGTCAATAATGCCAGAAGCATGCAGATCACTTGTGACACTGACTTTCAGGCCAATCGCTACCTCTTCTGATTCAATACAAAGAACTCACTGGTGTGGGAATTTGAGCTGAAAAGAGGCCTAATTCTGCAGAAGCTGCCAGTTTTTCCTCTGATTTGCATAAATCTCCACAGAGAGGAGGCAGTGATTTAGGCAGGCTTGTCTGGAGGCAGAAGGAGGTGCAGACGTAGAGATTGGTGTAAGACATGATTGCCTCTGGGCCCATGTTGTGCAGATGGAACTCTCGGGAGGCAGAAGATGACGCTCTGCATTAATCTGCCAATATCGGCCTGTCGAATATACGGCTACCACTTCCCGTGGAGGACCAACGCATCGTGATGCATTCCAACAGAGACTGAACGCACAATCCTCATTAACCTGTAAGCTGGAAATGTTGCATGCATCTCATGCAAGCAAAATGTACGACTTTCCTGCGTGACTGCACAATATCCACCAGTGTGAGCAGAATTTTGAGTTTTTGCCTGCTGCCTCCCTAAACAACAACACACAGCTTGTTTTTTATATTTGGATGTGGTGGGAATTAAAAGGCTTTGATATTTCAATTTCCATAAATTGTGTGGGGAATTCAGAGCACAGAGCTGTTTGAATGCAGAAGAATAGGATCACGGACAGAGGGGTTTGAAAATGCAAAGAACTGATGTACACACGAGACATCCATCAAAGAGAACCTGATCTAATGATGTGACTAAGTCTTCAAGGAGGAATGGGCTTTTTGAATGAACGTGTCTGAATAAACCTACATTATCAACATGATGCAGTGTAATGGCAGGTTACTGTTAATGAAGGGTTGTAGGATATGAATACAACATAAAGGAAAAGGTTCATTATGTTTGATGACCATCATCAGAAAGCTCAGCACTCTGCAGTGTAACTTGTGTCACTCATCTGTAAAAAGCGGGGGAAAAAGCGAGAAGGCACTAAGTCCCCCCCGTATAATCAATGGTAAAAATGTGTCAATATAAAGATGCCCTGGGCCAACAAGGTAACATCATTGCCCTGTTCAAAAACTACAGTCACTTGGGAGGATGTGTATTCGCAATATAAAAGTTACCTCACACTTATTGAAATCTGAATTCATTCATATTTGAATCATTTGGCCACTTGTGTGTGTGTGTGTGTGTGTGTGTGTGTGTGTGTGTGTGTAGTAGTAGTGCAAAGCTGTTCCTAAATCACTGACATTTTATAACCTCATTAAGTTGGAACACATCAGACAGACAAAGAAAAGAGTTGCTCTCATATTAGGGTTTGTTACTCTTGCTGACTCATGCATATTTAAACCACAGTTCGCTCAGCTTTTAGATCAGTTTTGCCATTATCACACTATTAGTTGCTAAGTAACTTTAAAAGTAACATGGTATTAATTATAAAACATTGTAAATGAGCAAAGTGAGAGTGAATCCAAAAGGAAAGTTGGAGGTATTAAGCCTGTATTGTATTGTTAGGTTATTAATCTCTGTTGTGTTTGTCCCAAAAAAGTTATTTACAAAGTAAACTGACACCATGTTAATTAAAAAATAATGCAGATGAGATGATATTGATCATTTGTGGTAAGAAATGTAAAGAGACGCAACTGAGGGTCATGAGACTCAAAAGCAGCTTATATGGAGACTGAGCCAGCATCTCCCTGCAGGTTACATCGAGGAATGAAGTCTCTGAGCTACAGGTGAATGTTTTGCCTCACCTCTTGTTTGGGGATGCTAACGTAGCCCTGGTGAGGCTTGAAGGCCTTGTACGGCTGCTGCTTGGAGAACATCCAGTGACTGCTGAAGGTCTGGCCGAACACGGGCTGCAGGAGAAAGTAGGGCTTCTCCGAGTAGTTCACCACGACCACAAAGAGCGACACCGCCACAATGAGACTGGTGGCGATCACCGACTTCCTCTGTGGAGGGGAAGAGAGGGAGAGAGAGAGAGTGTCCTCATGAATAGTCAGTTATTGCAGTCCAAAGCCGATGGATCGATCTAATCTTCATTTCATTTCTTAAATGTAACTTGAATTAAATCCTAAACAAAGAAATGGAAGTTTCACCAGGGCATAATAAACACACGTGCAGTGACACCTGACAAATCATAAAATGTCTAATAAAGCAACAAATATATTCAAATTAAAAAAAATAACCAACAGATGAAAGGAGAGAGATATTTTTGTATGTAAAATATAAAAAATGTCATGTACGTCTTTGTAACCTGCTACTGGATGCTTTGAATTTCCCTTGGGATCAATAAAGTATCTAATTTATCTATCTATCTATCTATCACATTCAATTGAGCGAGTTTGAGGGTACCTATAAGGGATCACAAACAGTATTTTTCTTTTCATTAGAGAGCATGTGCAAACATTTTTTGAACAGTTTCAGTCACTGATGATAGATCACTTCCGTGAGGTTGCAGCATCATTTACAGTATAGTTGCCGGTACAGACCTCTTACTTCATTAAACACTTTGTTTGATGTAATGCTTCATTATCAGAGTGCGTATGCTAAATAACAGAGTAATGAGGCAACTGTTAGTTCTGTTTGTCAATGTCAGTTTGCATGTGAGGATGGTTATCATGAGCATGTGGAACATAATAACATTAAAGAGTTTGGAGAGATGGAAATAATCTTGTCCTTTAAATATAAAATGTTAAGAATGAGATTGTGTAGCACAACCTCCAGATAAAAACAGATGTGTGAGCAGCATCACGGTTCTGCACATTGAAGAAAACAACATCCTCCTGAGTACTAACTGTAAAAGATAAATGAGGATTCACAAAAGTGTTTCTCACTCGAGTTACTTGGATATTGTCTGACCAGCATGCCGGAGAGACAAGGGCAAAGTCAGAAGATGTTTCTGAAGTAGCAGGGTGCCAACATGACATAGAAAGAAGGGAGTCTTATATCAGACCGCCGTTTCTGATTCAACTATCTTTGTTCTTCCCCTCAGATGTATCAAGTATGAAAGGATCTCTCAGAAGTCCTCCTCCTTTGCTGAGAAGAACACTTAATCTCTGCCCATTGACACTTTTCTCCTTTTCATAATGTGGTTGACTTGTAACACTTCAGAAAAGAGGAGATGGCGTATAGTTGATATCACTCATTAGACAAGCTGGAATCTTGTTACATAAAGGCATTTTGGGTCAGTCCACCACTCTGATCCAGACTGAAAGGTCCCAACAACTATTGGATGGGTCAGTATAAAATTTTGAGACATTCATGGTCCTCAAAAGATGATCCAGAGGATGTTAGTGATCCCTTAACGTTTACTTACCTCTTCCCTGAGGTCAGAATTGTAATCACTTTACTACTCAGTTGTCTGAGCCAAAATCTACAATACCAAATATAAGAGCACAAACCTTTGTCAGGGTCAATAGTTTGTGGATGCAGCTGAATGTTTGGCAGCACTTTGAGTCCAAGACAAATTTCCCCAAGGAGACAATAAAGTGTATTGTATCGTATCGTAGTCCTGTCTGTTATGACAAGGCAAAACTACAAGTGTACCCACGAAATATGTGCAAGACTTAAACAATTCACTTTGGCCAATATTATAGGAGCTGTTCTGATACACATTCCAATATGGGTACCAGCCTCAAATACAGTGTAATATGTAGTAATTGTATTGGCAAGTCAATGCACCAACCCAATGCAATATTCATAATCCCGCCCCCTTCAAACAAAGAAACAATGGCTTAAGGTAAATGATCATGTGACGATAGCACTGCAGTGAAAGTGGAGAGTGTAATGTTAGCCAAAGCTTGCAAAATACCAACAATCAAAGCTTTCCTAGAATAAAGTTTCTTATTACACTTGTATTGGAGAGGTATGGAGTAGATTCCAGAGGAGGTACGGGGAACAATTTACCGATCTCCAAATATTATTGCTTGTTTCGCAGTCAGATCTGATAAAAAAATTTACAGATTCGTCCAAGTTTACAAACTAAGTTTTATAATAAACAGGCATGAAGTTGTTCTGTGATCCTGCGGCCAAAAAGAAGAAAAAAAACATAACCTCCTCTACAGAGGTAACTAATGACATTATTTCCCCTTAAGTTGTACTTTGTGTTACATCATGGAACACTCTTCACGCTGATGAAGCCTTGTGCTGCTGAAACACGTCCGTTGTTGTTTTGTACGCTTCTCATACCCAGATAAAGGAAACTTGAAGGACATTTGGTCTGCTGACTTTTCCGTCTCTTTTTTAGTGATGTTCCGGTCATGCTCCTGAAATATTATTTACTGTCGAGTGTGCCCCTTTTTTAAAGTTTTTATAATTACATTTTACCTTTTAAATATGCATGTTAGCAGGCTAGTTAAAGCATATATAAAAAGTAGGTTTATTCATAATCTAGGATGAAATAAAATGAAAAAAAGTATGCATGCTAAACACCGGTATGTTTGCGTACATTATTACAGTGATTTTAGCATTGAGCTCAAAGCATACAGCCTCATAAACCCAGTAAAATGTCTGTAGACTATTTTATCAAATTCAGAGGATCAGGGACTACGTCCATTATTCACATATGTGATTATCTCTTTTCTGAATCAGCATTTCTGCCGGGACAGCAAGCCGGGCCGTCACTGTTTCATACATTGCAAAACAGCACAATGATTGTCTGGAGGTAAGAGGTATTATGGCTTGGCAGCAGGAGCTAGGAGTGATGAATAATTGATACAAGAAGCAGGATGAGGAAAGGTCTCACAGAGGAGAAGCTATTGGCAGAGTTGCAGATCAATGCACAGAAGAGAGAAGGAATCAGACAGAGATGAAAAAAATTGGTGTTGTGATACGACTTCTCACAGCCTGAGGTGATGATAGATTTCAATTTTTTTCCTCTCTCAGGAAACTTCAATAACATGCTGCTAATCTTACAGACAACACTGGTGGGAAACTCTGGATATTTTTGGATAGGTGGTGTTTGGCAGATTCTTTGAAGTTATCTGATGGTGAGAAGATTGTATGTGGCACACGGTAATGCTGAAGCCCCCAACCACTAAAGTGCCTGCACCACCATGCGCTCTGATCCTGACATCAAACGTCCCAAGGGAGGCACCGCAGGACTTCACCCCTCAGAGACAAGATCAAAATGTGTGGGGTGAGGGGGTTGGATGAAAAAGACAGTGACCATTTGCTGCCTTGACAAGGCTATCGCATTTTACCGATTACATGTGTGTTACATCACACATCATTTCATGGAATTACTGTCCATCTTTGATCACAAACAGAGAGTTCTCTGCTTTGATTTTGATTGAAACAGAGGACAAATGGGAAGTCTCGATAGCCCTTCTACTTATTTTTTTCTGTACAAAACAACCGATTCCACTTTTCAGAAAAGACTGTCAGTGTGTGCTGTCATCCCAAAAGGAATGATAGTTCATTCTCTGGAAAAGTGATGTAATAGCTTGTCATCATGAGTCCATTATGGAGCATGAATCCAATACTTCATTAAGCAAGAGGGTTCTTCAAGGTATCGAGATGGAGGGGAAAAAAACAGACGTCGGCTCAGTCTGCAGCGCCACAACATCCATCTGTTCTTATGAGATTTGAAAATATCCTTGTCTCCTTCAACCTCAATCCGGCCACAAATCACAGAGGAAATGATGTGTCAAAGTCTGGAGGCTCGATTGGACTTCTTGGCGTGGGTGTAGCGGGGCGCTGAACCTCCACCAGCTCGAGTGCAGGACTCATGACTCCTCTCCTCCTCATTCGCTCATCCATCAGGGTGATCACTAGTTTGCCTGTTGAGCCGTTTGACAGAGGAGCTGAAAGGCTGGATGTTGAGGAGGGAGTACAGTAAGAGGGTTGGGGCCCATTAACAGCAGCAGTGAAGCAGCAGAATGGCTATAAAGTTTCAGCATTAGAGCTTTCGGTCAATGTTAAAACATCTTCGTAAAGACTATGACCCCAATATGTGCCTGCTTTGACCTTGTTTGTGACCATCAAATCAGACAATGATGGCCATTAAATGCAGTACCACTTATGTTCTAGCATTTAACAACCCCCATTGAAAGCTATTCAGCTATTTTTAAAGGCAGAATACCCCACTGGGGAGGGATGGGGGATTGATCTCAGTTCACACAGTGTGTGGGATAATTGGGACTCGATACATGGCAGAGCTATGATTTTCCTCTAGTGTGGCTACAGAGATAACACCTATAGAGGTCAAAAGCTAGCAAAGCGTTATTGATGGGCACCTCAGGTTGTGGTGATGTTAACCTCATTCAAGAGTTGATTGTGCAAAAGCCATGGCCTGAATGAATGTTTACTCATTTCCCTTTCTGAAACCTGTAAAAACAGATCTTTGTCCACTTCAGGAGAATACATATCATCATCTTATAGAAGAGCATTGAATTCCATTTGAGGGGATTTATCAGTAGCAATTGAATATAGTATTTATCAGCACACTCTCATTAGTGTCAAATCATCTCAAATAAAAGGATCATCGTGTTGTCATTACCAAAAAAAAGATAAACTGCAACGATTTATAACTTTAAGTCTACAGACGGAGCAGCTCTTCAATTAGTAGCCGCAGATAAAACACAGAAACATTAATTAAACAGCGTAACAAACCCACACAGATAACATTGAAAGCATAATATTCAATCACAATAGTAAAAGGTAAACTTTGTCTAAAAACTCTAAAAGAATTCAAGTAGATAGTGCAAAATAGTTCAAAGCAGCTTTCACATCAATAAACAGTAACAACATCTTTCTAAGGGTTTCGATAGGGAGGGTAGGGATGCATGTTACTGCCTGTGGAAAGAAACTATCTCAGTCAGTTAGTGTTGGTTTTCATTGAACGGTAACTCCTTCCAGAGGAAGAGAAACAATAGATTTACACTAGCAACGCCTATTCACTTCAGCATTTTCAGTGCTAAGCATCCTGGAACACCACCCTGCTTGTCAG